GAATGCTGGTTATTCAACATTATGCAAGATTGCAGATATACTTTCCGGTAAACTAGCAACATTCGAAGATGATACAGAACTGTCACCAAACGACTTGACATTCTTCAAATATGCTCCTGTCACATCATGTGATGTGGAACGAAGTTTTTCCAAATACAAAACTATCCTTAGTGATAATCGGCTATCTTTCAAATTTGAAAATTTGAAAATGCATGTGGTTATAAATTGCAATTGTAACAGTGAAAATTGAGACGTGAATAGCTTGTGTTCTTTTAAATGGTGTTTTCAGATAACAGAGTTAAGTTAGTGTTCATACCATGTGCACCAGTGTTTGTCTAAAATATGAACGCAAATATCAGTATTAAAAAGAAAACAATGAATGGTTTAATCCAGTACGAAATGTCGAAATTCCATCAGTTTTCTTTCCTTCAGAGACATAATAGGGCTAACTTGGTAAGTAGGACCTACTATCATATATTCATCATCTTTATTCTTAAACTCTAGTAAAAGTGAAAAAACGTGAAATTTTATGTCCCATTTAATATTTAAGGTCATATGTTACACTTTTTAGGTCATATTTGACATAATTTTGGGTCATAAGTGCATGCATATATTTATAGTTTTTAGGTCATAAAAATCCGGGCCCTATATATATAGTAAAATTCTGTACTTGGCTTTATTCTAAAAAAAGAAATCCGTCACTGTCACCCCTGACTTTCATTTCCATTCAAACTACATTATCTCACACACAAATGCCTGAGTCAGGCACATTTATTATACCCCTTCTTGTCTGGGGCCTGTTGTGTAGACATGGAACACGACCATAATAGTCGGCTGACAAATCTGTCTAGTTGCATGCCTCATTGATAAACAGAGTTTCTTGTTGCCTTATGGGCTTGAAAACTTATTTCCTTTGCAAGCACAAGAAAAGCGCCTTCAACGGAAATTTAAGATCCTCTGATTGGCTCACACTAATGCAATTCGATTAATTGCGATAGGTGTAAAATGATCGATTCCAGTCTTAACCAGACTATGTAGTTCATGTAGCTGAAAATAGATCTCTGTTCTGCATGTTTCCCTATCCCTTATGGGCGTTTAAACCTCCCTGGTTACGACGGATCACGTTCGGCTTTGCCATAATTGGGCGTGGTTAAGAGATGGAAGCACAATAGGAATGCCCAGTCAATCGCCAATCGGTAATCACCATGCGAAACTAGAGTGGTACGTCTTTGGATAGTAGTATCGTATAGCTTCGTTACGTGTAGTAATCTGTGGTCAGGTGTGGGATCACATGTTATTGCATAGTAGTAACAAAAGGCGCACTTTGTGATTGTGACCGTGAAATGTCAGCGTATTTTCTGTAGACAGATCTATACAAAAAAATGAATTCACCATCGGTGATTCGCAAATTAGACGAAACTGTTGTTAATAGGATAGCGGCAGGAGAAATTATACACCGTCCTGCTAATGCATTAAAGGAAATGATTGAAAATAGGTAAGTTTCTTAATTTTTGAAGATTATATTATGGACATAGAAAATACAAACTTTTCAACAATCATTATATTGAATACTCAACTATGAGAATGCGGTACGCTAATGCGTATATTAATATATTTTAAATCACGAACTTTTATTCACATAACGCATAAAACACCAAGTATGTAATCTTCAGGTATGTACGTCATCAAAGTCACACATCAAACTTATTGATGGCTGTTGCTGCAGAATGTTTATAAAATATAATTTGCCTTTGTATGTAGTCTTCTGGTGAGTCATGTGTTGAGTTTTCATATTACTCATTGTTAAAGGAGAGAGAAGTGTAGATGTGAAGAATATGATCTGGGCCCCCCTAAGCTAAGCTACACTAATCTAATATAAATCAGAGGGTTGTTATTAAACTGACATATTCTGGATACTACTGATCATCTTGTTTTGCTTAAAGAACCAACGTTTTGGAAGCAGGGTCTGCATTCTTTGTCAGGTAAAAGTATTTAAATTTTAATTTTTTTATTTAATTCGCTTAGTGGGGGGGGGGTGGAGTCCAGCTGGGTCCACTTGGCACGGCGTCCACTGATTGGCCTATTGTACCTGCCCCGGGTGATTATGATGATGGAGAATTTGGCGGAGTGAAGATTGGCAGGGGAAACCTAAGTACTTGGAGAAAACCTGTCCCAGCGCCACTTTGTCGACCACAAATCCCACTTGACCAGACCCGGGATCGAACCTGGGCCGCCGCGGTGGGAAGCCAGTGACTAACCGCTTGAGCTGTGGCGTGGCCCAGGTAAAAGTATGAAATCTGCCTAGTTAGATCAAGTAGATAAGGTTAATCCCTGGCAGTAGAGATTAATTCTGTCTAATGGACCCAATATAATAGGCTTAATACTTTTACATTGTGACAGAAAAGGAGCTGGCTTTCAAGATGTTCTGTATCCTTAACCAAAGTGAGGCAATGGAAAATAACACCATATGTGACATTTTACATTGATCTAACTTGACTAACAGGTAGATGTTGGGATAGTACCATGATCAGGCCACTTCGTTCCAATTCACTGATCATCATACCACTGAACACTATACAGTGTAGATATTGAGATCATGGCTGCGCCATAGCTCAAGTGGTTAGTCACTGGCTTCCCACCATGGCCGCCCGGGTTCCATCCCGGGGCTGGTCAAGTGGGATTTGTGGTGGACAAAGTGGTGCTGGGGTAGGTTTTCTCTGAATACTTCGGTTTCTCCTGCCAATCTTCATTCCACGAATTGCTCCACAGTCATCCTTGCCTGTCATCTGGGGCTGGTACAATAGGCCAGAAGTAGCTGCAGTACAAGGGACTTAGTCCCACCCCACTAGCAATAAAAAAAAGATATTGATAGCATGGTAAATAACCAAGAAGAAAACATAACAATTTTCTGGGACCCAAAATATATTAATATTTCACTAAATGTTTCAGTCTGGATGCCCGTGCAGGTACAATACAGGTTACAGTGAAGTCTGGAGGTATGAAGTTACTGCAGATTCAGGACAATGGGACAGGAATTCGAAAGGAGGATCTTGGTATTGTGTGTGAACGTTTTACCACTAGCAAACTGGAAAAGTTTGAAGACTTATCCACGATAGCCACATATGGTTTCAGAGGAGAAGCACTTGCCAGCATTAGTCACGTGGCACATCTCACCATTGTCACCAAGACAGCAAATGAGCAGTGTGCATACAGGTATTCAGGCCAGTGTTGACAGTGATAGGCATGCTTCTCGACCCACATTTTCAGACATCGAACCCAAATCCACCATCCATTCATTTATCTGTGCTGAGGCCATGGAAGAAGTCCCATGGATTGACCCCCTTCATCTCCCTTAAGTTTTAACGCCTCCCGCTCCAGCCTATTTCCCAATTTTCCCCTCCAATCATCTCACTGTTCTGTACACATGAATGCTTAGCAATAACTCCAGAGGAGGCTTAGAGTTCCGTCAGCTCCATCTTCAGTGGGATTAGTTTTTATGGCCTCATAATAATTTACTCTACTGTGCAGACTGGTGCTGTGGTAACATTTTGGAAATATCCAGTTTGAATCTTTGAGAAGTTACTGTCTATCCTTAGTGAGGTTTTTCATGGTGTTTCTCAGTATCTCCAATCAGATGTAGCAATGCCTTTAAATAATTCACAGCTGTCTCTTTCCAAATGCTTACATTCTCAGTGTTCATGAGCGGCTTCCCATCTCATTCGATATGGCCAAACTGTTGCTCATGAAGCAATAGCACAGCTCACTCCTCCCTTTGCAAACAGATCGAATGTAAAAAATCTGCCATATAGAAAGCATGGACCTAACAGCTGTGCTGTCCAATCGACATCTGTTTGGAGCTCCCAAACTTCTGAAAATTATCATATGTGGCTTCAATATGCAGTAAGTTGGGCACCCCTGCGATATAGCCTTCCCATTTCGGATGACGGTGCCACTGGTTTCAGTTCAGAATGGCTAGAGCACTGAACGGAGATGCAGTTGGGATTAATCCAAAGGACTTATTTCTGTGGCCTCAGTGTACACTGTTGCATAGGAATAGAAGTGAAAATGAAAGTGCAAAATTTGGGTATATCAGAATATTCTGTTTTCCTTTTCTGTGTTGTGTTATTTTGAAAGACCACTTGTTCTGTGTGACAGAGCTTCATATGAGACAGCAAGCTGAAGGCACCTGCAAAGCCTTGCACAGGCAACCAGGGCACACAGATAACTGTGGAAGATCTGTTCTATAACATGTCCACACGAAGGAAAGCTCTGAAGAGTGCCGCCGAAGAGCACAACAGGATAGCGGATGTTGTGGGGCGTTACGCCATCCATAACAGTGATGTTGGCTTCACTCTGAAGAAGCAAGGCGAGAGTTTGGCTGACATCAGGACCCCACCAAACTCCACAGTTGTCGACAACATCAGGACCATTTATGGAAACACAATTGCCAAGTAAACTTATGCTAGCTGCAGAATCAAGTAGGCATTCCACTGCTTGTCATGTAACCAATTCAGGAAGAAAACAGTAGACACTGAGCAGGGTGGTGTAGTGGTAATGCTGTGGTCTTGTATTTGGAAGGTGCTTGGTTCTAATCACAGCTGGAGCACTAGCTATCCTGACAGATTTTTCATGATTTTTCTCAGTTCCTGCAGGCAAATACTGAAATAGTATTCTGATTAGGTCATGACCACTTCCTTCCAAATCTTTTCAATTCATCAGTCATCCTGTCATTGAACTTTGTAAAGAAACTCACACAGAGACTATGTGCCCCTAAATTATGAAATTGATCTGGAAAATTTGCAGATCTCATCTCACCATTGAATTCGAGTCCCAGTAGGATCTCTTCCATGTCGTCCTGTCTGGCTCTGGGGCTCACCCAGCCTCCTGTCGAATGAGTACTGGGGTCTCTTTTCCCAGGAGTAGAACAGCCAGGTCATGAAGCTGGCCACTCACATCCAACTAGGGCCAAGGTCAAGAAAACGTGGCTCTATACATCCACTCCTGCATAGGTTTTAATGGCATAGTGCTTAATTAGTTAAGTGCAGGGATAACTTTACCTTTACTCCCATGTTGCAAGTGGAATTGTGCACTTGCTAAAATTTTTCTGTCTACCCAGACATCTTAACCCTTCAGTGCCACAGGACATTAGATTCCTACTCACTCCTGGGAATGGAGGATATTTAAACATTAAGAACTAAAACTGGGAAAAGGTCAGGACACCACATAATATAAGATAAGATAGGAATATGAACCATATCATCCCTCTATGTCACTCACACCTGCGGAAATGCTAGACAGTGGCCACCTGCATACCCTGCTGTCACCAGCACATCCATTCATGCAGTCTAAATGTCTTAAAAAGTAGTAGTAGTTCTGCTTTTTGAAACATTTTAAATATTGATCCTAGATTCCTTTTAAGTGCAACTTTATTATTTGTATCATTAATTTTGTGGTCATGTCCTATAATATCTGTAAGGATGAAATTAAATAATAACTAGAGTCACGGAGGCATGCAATAGCATAGTAGGTTGAAGCTCTTTGCTACAAGTTGGAAGGTTGCAGATTCAAGTCCTGATGAAGTGGATTTTTTCAATTTACCCAATCCTTTCAGCCGCACTATGGCCCTGGGGTCGACTCAGCCTCTAACATAAATGAATACCAGCGATCTTCCTGGTGGATAAAGGGCGGCCGGTGCATAAGACTGACATCTTTACCACCATCTGTGAGCTGATTGTCTAGAGAAAATGTGGGAGCCTCGACATCTCACAACCCAATGGGCCTTCACAGCCTGTTATAAGGATAGCTTTACCCTTTTCTTTTTAATATTAAACAATATTTATGCACTGAAAACCATAACTGTGGGAATTAATCATGGGCTTCTCAGTACAGAGAGTCAGTCTTGGCCCAGGATGACTTCATGAGAGGTCTGTGGTGGATAAAGTGACCCTGGAGCAGGTTTTACTCTGAGTTTCTTGAGTATCCCCTTGCTAATTGTTCCACCACTGCTCCATACTCATCTGACATCCCTCCCCCAGTTATGTGATAACCCTGACCGAGCAGTATGTCAGCACGTTCTTGGTCTTCATCCCTTACCCAGCACTTGGCTGGTTATGCAGTAAGGGAATTATATTAGTTTTTTGTGTCTTGAATTTGAACATGAACCTTTATGCGGAGTCACAGTTTTGAGAATGCATTCTCATGTCCTGACACAGGGAGCTCCTGGAGTTGAAAGCTGCAGATGATGCACTCAGGCTGAAACTGACAGGGTACATAAGCAATGTTAATTACTCTTCGAAGAAACACATCATGTTGCTGTTCATCAATCATCGACTGGTTGAATCTGCAGGTGAGTTTTTGTGACTGTCCTTCCAGTATCCATCTTATCGCATGAGAATGTGTAATAATCATGCAACTTGAACAGCTCAGTGCTGTTGAATTTTCCATTGCTCATAAAATGGGGTTTTGTACTGTTGTATCATGTTGTGTAATTTCACTAACCGTTTATGCTGCCATGTCTGCAGTCTCAGACTGTGTGCTTTCCACCATAATTTGTATAAATTGGGCTATGTGTTTCAGCACAGTAGTGCTACCTTCAGGCTACAAATATCCAACAGTTGATTGTCTCTACTACATTAAGTATCCTGCTCTTAGAACACACCGTATTATGTAAACTTCCACATAATTGTCATGTTTTTTATCTTTATTTACACATTTTATACATAGTTGCATTTCAATGGTGTAAATTTTAGTGGACACATGTTTGACCTTTCCTGAGTGGATCCACTTGGGAAGGTTACAAGCTGTAGGTCGGCACAGCAGTAATACTTCAAACTAGTATTTGAGAGGTGCTCGGTTTGAATCTTGGCTGGGACACTGGCTATCCTGCCTGAGCTGTGTTTGCTGTTTTCCACAGTTCACCCAGTGAATGACCAGATAGTACCTCGATTGGTCTTCCTGCCATCTGACACCACACAGTCTGCATACAGATGGCTTTGTGAAATAACTGGCATAAAGTTAAAGTCATATGCCTTGTTTGAGCTTGGTAATTTCAGCTATTGCCATCATTCACATGTGAGTGAAAGTTGAATGGTGTCATTTAACTGATAATAAGATCTAAGTTGCATGAGTGGAGACTCCACTTTCATCATGAGACTTCCTTGTTTATTTGGATTCGCAGTATAATGCTACGTGTAATAGAGTGCACTGTGTGTTGTGTGTTGGCAGCCCTGAAGAAAGCAATGGAGCAAGTTTACAGCGTATACCTTCCAAAAAATAACCATCCGTTCCTGTATCTAAGTCTAGAGCTGGATTCCAGGAACATAGATGTGAACGTCCACCCAACCAAGCATGAGGTGCACTTCTTGCATGAGGATTTGGTGCTTGACAAGATCAAGGCAGCAGTGGAGGGCAACCTGCTGGGATGCAATACCTCCAGAGTGTTCTACACACAGGCAGGTTTGAAGTTCAATGTGCAGCCGAGCAGATTGACTCAGTTGGTTATGGTTTTGACTCATGTTTGGGAGATGCCCGGTTAAAATCTCACCTGGGACACTAACTATCCTGACAGATTTTTCATGGTTTCCCTTACTCCATCCGGGAAAATGCTGGAACAGTACCTTGATTAGGCCATGCCTGCTTATTTCCAAATCCTTTCCAGTTCATCATTTCTCGGTCATCCTATCATCCAACCCTGTATTTACCTTGGTACGGAAAGTGTCATTTAATAATGCAAGGTAAAGATAAAGCCATCCCTGTAACAAGCCATGAAAGCTCATAGGGTTGTGAGACATCAAGACTCCCGCATTTTTCTAGACAGTCGGTAGTGAGGTTATCAGCATTAAGCACAGCCGCTTATTACCCCCAGCAAGATGCCTGTTACTCATTTCTTTTAGAGGCCCAGTCAACCCCAGGGCTATAGTGTGACAAGAAGGATTAGGTAATGTAAGGTAAATTTGTCCCTGTACTTAACTAATTGAGCACTGTGCCATGAAGGTATGTAGGGGAGTGGATGTATAGATTCACATTTTCTTGACCTCACCACTAGTTGGAGATGAGTGGTCAGCTTCACACCTGGCTGCTTTACCTCCAGGGAAAGAGCCCCTGGTATCAATTGGATAGGAGGTTGGGTGAACCCTAGAACTGGTCTGGACACTGTGAAGAGGAGAAAATTCTTGACCCTTCTGGGACTTGAACTCTGCCACCTCCGACCCCTTGGTTTTCCAGCTCATAGCCAGTCACTATACCACCTACGCTACCCCAGCTTCCTAAGAAGGATTAGGTCAATTGAAAAATGCAATCACTTTATCAGATGTTGAACTCACAGTCTTCTGGTTTGTAGCATAGTGCCTGAACGAAGTACACTACTGCATGCCCCCATGTCATAATATACAAAAAATAGAGGCTATGGGTCACAAATACACCCTTAAGGTAGTTTCGGACGAATGTTAGTTTTCTTTTCATACAAGATCTGAAATGGGAGCAAATTCAGCAACAGCGAATTTTCTCTGAAATGTGATTATTTAGTAAGGAATTCGGATTGCATATGCACATTTGTCGGGTTGGCTAGCCAGTGTGCATGTGATAGTGCAGTTGCTATTCCCATCTTGTTTCACACTGTGCAGTGAACCTTGTATTATTTCTGTCTAGTAAGAACCTGTGTTTTCATTGAAACTGGGTTAGGAAAGTTATGTAGGAAGACACCTCCACTTATAAAGCAGGAGTCAAGGGAAGAACAGGGAACTTTATGATGCAGAGATATTTTCAAGAACAAGCCACTTCCCTAAAGGGGGGGGGGGATTACAGATGTTTTTTCTCCTTTGGCTGCTGTTGCTTCCATTTGTTCCCTTCTCCCCTAAGCTGTGTATTGCCCTGTTCCCTTCAAGTCTTCTCAGACGTTTTCCTGTATTTCCATATTGAAACAGGGTGCAACTCATTTAGTGCTGTGATGGTTTTTATTTAAGGCCCGGCTTCCTGGTGCTGGTATGCCAAAGAGACCATGGCTGTGGAGACAAACAAGATATATGCCCATCAGATGGTACGGACTGACAGTTCTGTGCAGAAGCTGGACAAGTACTTTGGCTCCCCTGCTGCCACCACTAAACCCTCTGACAGGTAACATGAGCACTGTGGGCATAAAAGTGCCGGTGGCACGATTATCCCTGAGCCGCCCCATACGACCCTGGACTGGAACTGGCGACTCGCCGGTAATGTCAGTGATCCAACAATCAGGTCGCAGCCTTCTGGCTGCTCGAGGACACCTGTCCCCTGTATACTAGTTTGGTTCAAGGGGCATCCGTGAGTGTCTATGCATTTGCACTCTACCCTTGTAGGTCCATTCACTGCATACAGCCATGCACTTTCGAAAGGATGTTTTCTAAATACAGGCCTAAAATTGACACAATTTCTCTTGTGCATAGCAAGTAACTTTGGATGGTCCCATAAAATAAACTACTTAGACAAGTCTCGTCTGTTCTCTCAATTGTCGGGACTATTCCCGGACATATTGTCATAGTTCCCTCCTTGCAGCTCCTCATGTAGTCTGCAGGCAATAACATATAGGTCCTCCTGTCAGATGACACAGCTAGCCTCTCCGTCCCTGTTTGCATTCTGAGGAATTTTCCTATATTGTGCTTGAATGTTGGCAATGCTACCGTGTTGTACACAAAGTACGTTCACTGTTCATTCCTCAAGGGATGTTGGATAACGAGGCGAATAGCTTCACTGGTGGCCAGGACTGCAACTTGGACCGATGCGTAAAATAAGTGCATATTCTCCAGCTTCAGTGCCGTAATAAATGAATAGCCTTGTTCTAATTGGACATAAATGTCGCATAAAATCGCAAACAACTTATGGGAGGGTAACAAACTGGTGGTCAGGTGGTGTGACTCCGCTAAGTCTAAGCTTAATGCTACGTTTGATACATCCACATACATTTTCATTAACAACATTTCTAGCTCTCTTGTATAGCTCGCTTTCCTTACCGAATCCGACGCGTGGTGTGGCTCTGAGGTTAACTGATCTCTAACCTCTTCCTCGCGGCGTAGTTTCATCGCTCGTATCATCTGAGCTAGTATCTTGGAGTTTTCCCTCATGCGCAAGTCTATCTTGCGGTTCATTGTTAAGCATTCTTTTCCATCGTGAACCAGTTCACCCACTTGGGTTCTCAGAGTTTCGGTTCTCTCGTTCAGGGGTCCTAAATCTTCACTCAGTGTGGCTCCAAATAAAAACTTGAGGGCTTTCCCTCCTAAGTTGAGTATTCCCCTCCTAACTCGCTGACCTCTCGGTAGCATCTGCAGTAAATCGTCGACTTTCTCCTGCAATTCCTCTGCTAGCTTGCTAGCGTATCTCAGCTCCTGCCATTGAGCTGGGTCCCTTCCAACTGAAGGTTAGGTCTCCCAATCCCTTGATTAGGTCCCTTATCGCTTGGGCGTGTTCCTTTACGCCGAAGTCCACCGTGACATGCCACACAGCCCCTCTCATTAATATTTCTTGTTCCCTTGGGAACGCCGTTCCTTTGTCTAATTTGAGCTCTTCGGCTCCATCTGTCTTGGATTCCTCTCCACCTGTAAACCATGGGGCACGTTTTCATCTGCTTTTCTGCGTGGGGTTCCACCTCCATCCATCTTTATTCTCTTGTAGTTACAATGTAACTGGATACGTAGCGAGTAGTCACGTCTGGTTTCTTTTAACTCGCGTTTCTCGGGCATGGTCAAGGTCGACTGTCCACTGGCGCTGCTTGTATTAGCGCTGTCTTGCTCTGCCTCTGTTCTTGTCTCTGTCTCCTCCTCAGCGGGAGCATATGTATTGACTCCGCTTACTGGTTCATTCTCATGTCGTCTCTTGTACTGAGCGTACGAGTATTGTGGTTCAAGTGCTTCCTCGCAGCTAGCAGCATGTGTGTACTCAGCGGTTTCACTACACTTCTCTTCTGTCTTGCTTGCTCCTTTGGCAAGCACGCTGAACCCAGTTCAGCTGTTTTCTGGCTATGCTTCTCTATATACCGGTTCCTGTTGAGTCCCTCCTTTGGACTCTTCTCTTGGTCCCCTGGACCGTTCATCCCCTCGCCTAGTGCGTCAGGCGGGATATCACCACCCTTCGTGATGTTTTGTAGGTCTGCCTTCTTGACGTCTTGACGTAGCAGCCTCTCGTGTTGCCGTGACATAGAACCGCTTCATTTGCACTTTGCCTCACGCTGCCATCATGTGTTCCATATCGGTGTCACTTAGCTTGGCGCTGAGTACTGCTGTCCTCGCACTCTGCTTCGTGCTGTCGCCTTCAACTTTCTCTAGGCTGCTTGTCCTTGCGGCCCTTTAATCTTGGTTCACATAACCAGGAGCGCTTGCGGCTCCAGGTGTATTGTCTGTGGCAACACTGCCTGCCAATATTGGTGCTCTTCCACCCCTCTGCCCTCGGGCGGTGATTCCTTTTCTCTGGTTCCGGCTGCGGCCCTCTTGGCCGTCCTTGCAGTTTCCTCTGCTGCGCCTTCCCATCGTCGCGGTCTCTGCTTGCAGACCATCGATGGGTGCTGGCTCACCTTCCACCTCCCTGGCAGATGGTTTTTTAATTTGATCTTCTGGCCGTCCAGAGTTCCATACTTATTCCTTTTCTTCTAAAGCCTTTTATTTCCTAGTCTCAATTTTCTGTCGCCTCACCTGTCTCTTCGGGTGCGGTTCGTAAATCGTGATGCTGCCATCATATGTAATGCCGTGGCGACGGGCGGATTGAATATCCTACCGCTGTCACCATATGTTATGCCTGGGTGACGGGGGTGGAAAAACAGTTTACTCATTCACTCCGTCAGCCAACTCTCTTTGGCTAATCCCACCTCCACTGTTCCCGTATGTTATGCTTCGGCGACAGGTGGGGTTCGATGTCCCATCGCTGTCGTCATACGTAATTCTTCAATGGCAGGGGTGGGTAAAACAACTACTAATTCACTTTGTTAGCCAGCTCCGTTGGCTAAATGCCACCTCCACTGCCACCAATTTGTTATGCTTGAAGGGCGGGGGGCTAATAAAATACTACTAAATTACTCAGTCGCCATCCCTTTGTTGGCTGGCCCCTACGTCACTGGCACCACTTTGTAATGCTGAAATGGCATAAAACGGGCGTGTAGGTCCTAACCCGTCTCTTCCCATTTTACTGTCATGCCCCTAAGCTGGGGTGTCATCTCATTACTCTTTCCTTGTTCCATCAAAAATGCCATCTGTGTCTACTACTAGTCCCTCACTCTTAACTGTCGTTGCGTCCGGCTGCTGTTGGCTGCCTGGGGTTCAGTTCTGCCTTCGTCGGGACGGGGATAGCTCTGGGTCGGTCGGGTGAAGTGAGCCGTGTCCCTCGACCCTGTGGGTAAAGAACCCCGTTCTTCTACCCACTTTGACCCGTGAATCCCTACTCTATATGGGTAAGGGACAGGCTCATAAGAAACGACTTGCATGTAGCGTGATGCACTATGCCTCCCTAGGATTGTGTAAGGGATCTCGGGGGAGGAAAACCACAGTCAGTACGATGGGCCAGGCTGGACGGATCCGCTAGGCAGAAGTTGGTGTGGAACATACGGCACAAGCATACATATACACAACTGGCATTCTCAAAACATAAATAAATATATATTGATAACATATGTATACAAATGGACTCTGCCTGAAGGGCAGTGACTGGTCAGAACATGTGATAAATGATTGATACAGAACTACGCTGTGCCCAACAGCACAGAACTCAAGTCAGCCACGCCTCATGGCGCATTTCTACTTCTCCAGTACAAGCATGTACTTAGGCAAGCCTTGACAGCACAAGGAAATATAAACAGCTTACACACTCACAACTGAACACGCCTGAAGGGCGATCTGCTGTTATCACAACCTTAGACAAAACCAAAATTACCCTACGCCACACGGCATCAGCAATCAAACCAAAATGCACCCCACAGTGTATATTACCTTAGTAAGTCACTTACTTGGATATACTTCTTGAATATACAAACTCAAAGATTTACCTCATGACTGATCCACCCTTGACCATGTCGTGAGGGCGCTCTTCCCCCTTCAGATCCGTGCTACCAGCCGTGACAAATTTCAAATGCAAATCATTCAACTTTCACGAACAGGAATTTAGATGTAGCAATGTGTTCAGACGGATGTCCTTGGGAAGAGAGACCATTAGATTCGCTTGAGCTAGCCACGAAACCTCTGGGTACATTCAGGAAGGGAGGGGACAAGGTCAGCTGACCTGACGTCAGTCAAAGACGTTAATCGGAAAGAAAGGGAGCGGCTCGCATCCTGGCGTTTTGGGGGCGGGGGGAAATCCAAGGAACTTAACGAAGAAGAACTGTTGCATGGTTCAGAAGGGTTGAATCAAAAATCTCTGTGTACATCCTGCCCTAAATCCCTCAGTCTATTTACACTCTTATGTGCAATAATATTTAGAGTAATAACAATGCCGACTTTCAGTCAGGGCTACATAGTATCTGTCCCTTAACTCATTCTCACTTTCCTTCATTGCTCCCACTTAGGGAGTATGACTTGAGGCTGTCCTTTCCCCCATTTCCTACCCTAATGACACTGGTCTGGTACACTTCGATTATCACCCTATTACAGTCATAATGCTTCGCCCTTAAAATATTCTGCTTCTAGAACTGTAAATACTAAAAACTTAAGTATGTGTATCACAAAATCAATGGTCACAACAATAAACAATAAATATGCGGGCTCCGCATACTACTAGCAAATCATGATATGCCATACAACAACGACCATATTTACCACACTGGCTACCTCAGCCATTACTCGTTACACCAACTCTCGTATTCTCTTTGGCATAGTCTCTACCCTAAAAACTCGCTGGGCACACTGGAGGTCACTTTTCAACATGTCACAACAACATTGAATTTGAATAGCATGGCTAGTATGAGCAAACATGACTCACTTGAGATAGAGACGCAGCGACACCATCACTTGTAGGACCCATGTTGAAGAGAGCCTTCGGCGGCTCGCCGAATATTACGTTTTTCTCTGATCAGTCCCCCAACGTCTTTTTTCCTCTCTTTATACTATAAAACTGCTAACGCAGCTACTTCCCCAAAGTAAGCTACCTCCTCCCTTTTTGCCCTTAAATTGCAAGCGGTGGGTTCCCATTGGCTAAACTCGACTCCTCGCGGGTAATCCGCTGCACCTCCCCCTGTGCATTTTGTAATTTCATACTGCTCCAGTGTTCCCTGTAAGGTGAGCTTGCAGTAGTGCGATTACGCATCTTTGCTGACTAAGTACATTGTTGACCTGGTTACACAGTCTGTGTGTTGCCATCACTGCTCTAATTGCTGTAAGACTCTTTTGCAAGTCTCGTAACATTTGGGCAATGCCTTAAATCTCCAATCTCGAAATTTGTGGCGTAACAACCTAATTCTGTATCAGTATTCCTAAACCTGTTTTTCTAAAGCTGGTCCCCCCAAATCCATATCTGCATCTGTGGTCCCAGTCTTCCTCTCTGCCACGTGCGGGCCAAATCTCCTGTTCATTGTTTCCCCTAACCCCCTTCTGTCTCTGAACTCCCATTTTCCTGGGAGAATGGATCTTATATGTTTGGGTTGCTCACTCTCACTGTTAAGGATATTCATGGCTTCCTGAACAAGGTACCTTGTTTCTGGTATTATTGGATCAAATTATTGCTTAATGCACACTGTTTATTTCACAGCAAAGCGATGAATCCTGATGAAGCAGGAGTCTATGGGAATGAAAGAGCTTCAGGACCGAACACGCCGGGCAAGTATGTGGTCTCAGGACTGAATGGCATGCTGTACTTCCAAGGGATGGGGGTGCAGTGAAAAGTAACAGGTTGCAGCATATGTACTGTCACAGTTGTTTGCAACTGTGCTGAAGAAATGAGGTTGTACAGTTGTACATCAGTTGACATTTCCACCATGAAAAGCCCCCTCCACTTTCCTTTATGCTGACATAAATACTTCTCATCTGTCTGCATCCATTTGTTTCATGATGTCTTCTTTTTAATGAATGTAAGTCAGAAAGTATCTGAAAGGAGGAAAGGAAGCAGGACTATGGGAGTTGGTGGCTCCTGATATGTTTGATGGGTGGGGATCCAGTCTCCGAAACGTTGTACCCAGTTAATAGAGTTAGTCCTTATCCCCAGGGAGAGAGACTAGCTCTGTCAATTGGGCTGAACTGAGTAGGTTCCACTTGAAGGTGGAGTCAGAATCCAGTCTCTGAAATGTTGTGTGCTTTAAATAAGAAGAGGAGGATGGGTAATGTCTAGAAACATTGTAATTGTATTAACATACCATTGTCACCAACTTTTAGATCTTAATGACTAATCTTGGTACTCTCTGCTGTGAACTTGCGTTTGCAGAGTGGAGTGCAAGTTGACGAGTGTTTTGGAGCTGCGACGTGATGTGGAAGAGGCAACACATGTGGGGCTGAGGGCGCTGCTGAAGAACAGCACTTTCGTAGGGTGTCTGAGTCCGAAACAGGCCCTGATCCAGCATGAGACCAAGCTGTTCCTTTGCAACACTGCTTGTCTCAGGTCAGATCACCTTTCATCACACTGATGCAGTGGTTACATAAGACTCGGTGTGTGTTGCCCTCATTCAAGCATTATCCTGTCATTTACATCGAGCAAAATGTGCTAAGGGGAAACACTTGTCAGGATAGCCAGTGACCTGGCTGAGATTCAAGCTGAGCATCACTTCTTGAACATGATTCTGGAGTGCCACTTAGTGCAGGCCATCATGACTTAACCCTCGCCTTCAAATCGTAGTAGCTCTACCCCTCCAATATACTGACTGTCTAAGTAACCAAACAAACACCCAACTAACTCCATGGAACACAGTTGTTCTTGAGAAGCTGGTCAAGAATTTCCATCTTATGGAACCTACAACAGAAATCTAACCTGAGTGATCAGGGACATTGCCAAGTTGACTGCCCCAAAGCAATGGATGATGGGGATGACAGTGCTCGAGGCTTCCCTTTATCTGCGTACTGTTGTATTCCCCTGCACCATCTTCTGGCCTATGTCAACCAGCACAAAGTGTGTTTATTGCTAGTGGGTGTACTAGACAACCAAAGGAGAATGTAAGGCATTATGCTGGAAGGGGAAGTCTCATGACTCAGTCGATATGTGGAGGGGGTTAATTCATGGAACTCCTTTCTTGTGCCCTCAGTGAAGATGTCAGTATGATGACAGTAACTAGGTTCTTGTTCATTCAGGAGAGTATTGGAGTGAATTTCTGTTGTGGAGGTGACAAGCCTAGCTCATGGCAATCTATTCTATGTTAAGAGGATCTTGATAGCTTGTCTTACTGCCACAGATGTCCATAGAACGTTTCAGTGTGGAGCAAAGTTCATGACTTGTGAGCAGCAGATCTCTTGTATTCATTTTAATGTTTTTGTCCTGTTCTTATCCTTGCACAGGTGACTGTTCATGGTTCTATGTCTGTCGTATCTGTAGGCATGGTTGAAACTGCTGCATGTGCCCAGTGAGTTGTGCATGCAGACTGCTTGACTTGCCTCAAC